CCAGTTTGTGAGTTCATATTCTTGGTTGACACTCCAAGCAGTGCCGGGGGAGGGCTGTAGGTGCCATTCACCACTGTTTGTGGGACGCCGCTGTGTGCAATTGGCCGCGGCGTTTCGCCCACAAAAATACACAGTCAATTCACTTTACAGTATATTCTGTGAAGCGCTTTGAGACGTCTCAGCGACATGATAAGGCGCTGTATCAAATGCAAGGATTACTATTATTATCCTTCAGCTGACATGTTAAATCTGCCTGTTCAGATGCACCTTTAAAAAAGAAACACAGCACTATTTGAAAAGACAAGAGAGTTTCTCTGACCAACACTCCAGTCACTTCAAGGCTACTTCCGGGACATTGCTGTACGCAAATTGGCTGCTGAGTTCACCTGCAAATACTTTGCAGAAAACTGTGGGTGAAATGTTGTTTTTTTGAAGCGATAAGGGACTGTGTCAAATGCCAGGAGGATTATAACATTTGAGATGTTTTAAGGCATTGCATTGCCTGCTTTCGACACTGACGACCGCTAGTGGCGGTGCGCCTGCTTTGGTGTGGTCGACTCCACCCTATCTCTCACTCTCTCTCTCTATATTATCTCTCTCGTTTCAATTACATTTGCAGTAATTGCCTCAAATCTGGGCCGACCTTCGAGGTTTGGGGAACGACTAAAGAAATTAACTTGGTCTCATTCGAATAAGACAAAACTGAAAGAAAGAAAGAAAGAAAGAAAGAGAGAGAGAGAAAAAGAGAGAATGAAAGAAAGAAAGAAAGAGAGAGAGAAAAAGAAAGAAGGAAAGAAAGAGAGAGAAAAAGAGAGAAAGAAAGAAAGAAAGAAAGAAAGAAAGAAAGAAAGAAAGAAAGAAAGAAAGAAAGAAAGAAAGAAAGAAAGAAAGAAAGAAAGAAAGAAAGAAAGAAAGAAAGAAAAGATGCTATAGAACGTATGAAATTAGTCGTTAAAATGTAGACTATTTTTGGAGGAAAATTGAAAAGAATGCATAAAACAGTTCTTTAGAATACAGCGCAGGTTTTGCACAAAGGAAGCTTAACAGCAGTTGGAAAATGTTGGTTGCAATGCCTCAAGGATGCCTCTAATTTCTGCCCTTTCAGGACAGAAAAGCACAATTGCGAAGGAAAAACAATTAAATTACAGAAGCCTTTCACGGTTCAGAAAACGGTTCGAATAAACGCTCTCTTAGTGGCCCCATTTCTCTCATTATACTGCAAAACATTCCAGCGCTTAAACCCCACAGATGCTTTCCGCAGACCGTCCGGCGGGAGAGAAACGAGGCGCGGTCCTGCTCGGCACACAAGGGGTTAATACGCTCCGTAAGCTCTTCGGAGGGTCACCAGGGGAGATGGAAGGAGATTTGCTAAAAGCAATTAATCACCACTTACAAATTCGAAGCGAATTGAGCAATTTCAAGTAAATCCTTTTGTGAAACCGCCATTTACTTCACTTACCCGCGCGCACACCTTCGTCCTCACAGTCGCCAGGTCTCTGTCTCTCTCTGTCTCTCTCTCTCTCTGTCTCTCTCCTCGGATATTAACGTCTCCTTCAGGTAGTGATACCTGGTGTACCTGCAAATAGAATCCTGAAGGCAATGCCATTAATCGGCAGAGTGTCCTACTTACGCTCAGCTCTGAAACTCCAGACATCAACGGGGAAGGCGTCTCCTTAATCTCATTCGAATAAGTGCAATGCCCGTTTACCGGCAACAGCTACTTGCATTTATACGGCACCTTTCACGCAGGATAGCGTCCCAGAGCGCTTGACAGTGGCAGAGCACGATACTGAGCCGGGGGCGGGGGGGCGGCGGGGTGGGGGGAGGAAGAGGTAGGTGACCATAAGCACGGTCTAAGAGAAAGGTCTTATAACCGTTAATCGCCTTCGTAATCGATGGTGCGAACAATGACTTGATCGTGCACACTGACCGATCCCTTCACCTCCCGGTGATTTCCCTTTGAAATCTATCTCTTGACACCTTCTGACGTCCTCTCTTCCCTCCCAATACCTGACAGCACAAAGCATAGGATTTGGCGGTGACAAAGCCTTGAGTGTCGACCTCCAAACGATTACGTTAACAACTGAAAACAGTCCCGTGTCTGCTTATCAGGAGAAAATAATAATAATAATAATAATAATCCTTGCATTTGATACAGCAGCGCCTTATCGTGCCGTTCAGGTGCCTCAAAGCGCTTCACAGATTATATTGCGAAGTGGAGTGACTGTGTGACAATTCCAGGTCGGGCCAAACCTTGGGCAAGTTTCCTTACTCCACACAGAGCCTAATAATAAACCCTCCAAAAACCAAAATCAATAATAAATCGGTCGTTTTCAATCTACGACTGTTTGTGGGACATTGCTGTGTGCAATTGGCTGCCGCGTTCGCCCACAAATATACAGTCAATTCACTTTACAGTGTGTTCTGCGAAGCGCTTTGGGACGTCCTCCCGACGTGAAAGACGCTCTATAAATGGAATCTTGTTCTTGTTCTTGTTGTTGTTGTGTGTTTTGTGGGCTCTTTCATTTTATTTTGTATTTCATATTGAAATGCTGCAAATGCATTTGGCAATTGGAATTCAAGATTGCAAATGTGTCAGATTCGAACACATCCTCACTGACTAATCTCACCTAAAAATTTTTTTTTTATATATATAGCAGTTCAGCAAAGTGTTGGACAGAGTATTGACGTAGACCAGTTCATGGAAGTACTTGTTTCCCCGTCGTCTCGAGCATCTGTCATCATCTGCAAAGGTGTCAACTCAAAGCTCCTGGAGTCCAGGACGAACGGCTTCGAGTCGGTCGATCAGGAACACACTTAAAAGGCCGCGCGCGCGCGCGGGGGAAGCTTACGCAGGTTTGGGTCCGCGGAGGGTTAGATAGAACGCCGCGGGATGGGAACGGGGACGTTTGGTCCAACTGGTCTGCGTCCGTGTTTGGACGTCGCGACGTCTCGAGAGCGCTTCGCGGAATGTATCGGAAAGTTTGTGCGTCCTGTGGGCAGTGGGTGACCCCCAACCAGTTCACAGTCTGAAATCGCCGAATTGTTATTATTATTATTATTATTTTTGGTGTTGGGGAAGGGATTATTCCCCCCCCCCCACCCAACCCTCCCCCGATGATGCGATCCACCGATCGACTAACAATTTACCGCTCGGTAGTGGGTGTGTGCGTGTGTTGGGGTGGCGGTGTGTGTGTGGGTGTGTGTGGGGGTGTGTGTGTGGGGGGGGGTGTGGGGGGGTGAGAGAAGGGAGGAAACTTGCCTATTGTGTGTGCAAAGTGGATTGAGTGTCTATCCTGTGGGGGCGAAACACAGCCTCTGAGTTGCTCACCACTCGCTCAGTGACAAGAACAGCATTTCCATCTCCCCGTCCGCCGCGAATTGCCGTTGCTATGTTACGGTGTCTATATCTGTACCTTGGCTCTGGGGTGGGGGGTGGGAGGGGAGGGAAGGGAGGGAGGGGGGGCGGTGGTGGTGGGGGGGCAGGGAGGAGGGTTGGAGGGAGGTGGTTGGAGGGTTGGGTTTGGGGGGGTGTTGGAGGGGGGGTTGGAGAAAGGGTTGGAGGAGGGGTTTGGGGGGGTTGCGGGTTGGGAGGGTGTTTGGGTTGGGGGGGTGTTGGAGGGGGGTGTTGGCGGGGGAAGGGGGTTGGGGGTAGGAGGGGGGGTTGAGTGGGGGATTGAGTGGGGGGTTGGAGGAGGGGGGTTGAGTGGGGGGGTTGAGTGGGTTTGGGGGTTGGAGGGGGTTGGGGTGGGGTTGTGTGGGGGGTTGGGGGGGGTTGTGTGGGGGTTGGAGGAGGGGGTTGGGGGGGTGTATGGGGGGTTGGTTGGGGGGTGTTGTGTGGGGGGTTGGGGGGGTTGTGTGGGGGTTTGGGGGGGGTTGTGTGGGGTGTTGGAGGAGAGGGGGTTGTGTGTGGGGGGTTGGGGGGGTTGGAGGAGGGGGGGGTTGTGTGTGGGGGTTGGGGGGATTAGAGGAGGGGGGGTTGTGTGGGGGGGTTGGGGGGTGTATGGGTTGGGGGGGTGTATGGGGGTTGGGGGGTTGTGTGGGGGGGGGTTGTGGGGGGTTGGGGGGGTTGGTGTGGGGGTTGGGGGTGTTGGGGGTTGGGGGGTGTATGGGGTGGGGGGGTTGGGGGGGGGGGGTGTATGGGGGGTTGGGGGGGGTTGTGTGTGGGGGGGGGGTTGTGGGGGGATTGTGTGTGGGGGGGGTTGGGGGAGTGTATGGGGGGGTTGTGGGGGGGAGGGGGTGAGGGCTGACTTTCAAATCATTATTTCTCTCCCATTTTGTTTGGTTGGGAAGTCCATGACGTCAAGAAAACTCAGTCAAAGAGGTGGTGAGAGAGAGACACAGAGACAGAGATGATGGAGAGACACAGATAGAGCTCTCGGGTACCATGGACAGCACCGGCACTGCGCGGCTCCTCCACTGACCCCTCTCCCCTCTCTCCCCCTCTACCCACTCCCCCCCACTCCCCCCTCTACCCTCTCCCCCCCCACTCCCCCTCTACCCCTCTCCCCCCACTCCCCCCACTCCCCCCTCTACCCCTCTCCCCCCTCTCCCCGACTCCCCCCTCTACCCCTCTCCCCCACACTCCCCCCTCTACCCCTCTCCCCCCACTCCCCCTCTACTCCTCTCCCCCCCACTCCCCCCTCTACCCCTCTCCCCCCAATCCCCCCTCTCCCTCTACCCCTCTCCCCCCTCCCCCCTCTACCCCCACTCCCCACCCCATCTCCCCCCCTCCCTCTCTCCCCCCCTCCCCCACTCCCCCCTCTCCCCCACTCCCCCTCTACCCCCTCACCCCCACTCCCCCCTCTCCCCCATCTCCCCCACTCCCCCTCTACCCCCTCACCCCCACTCCCCCCTCTCCCCCATCTCCCCCTCTCCCCCACTCCCCTCTACACCCCTCACCCCCACTCCCCCCCTCTCCCCCACTCCCCCCCCATCTCCCCCCTCCCCCCCACTCCCCTCTCCCCACTCCCCTCTCCCCCCCCCCCCCCCCCCACACGATGCTGCTGTCCCCCCGCAGCCCTCTCCGGCCCCTGTGGTCGGTGGACTTGGTCCGGAGTCACGACGCTTTGCTGAACGCCGCGCGGAGAGACGCGGGAATCCTCCTCCGGTCCATCGGCATCGCCTCCAAACAGTGGATCCGCCGCCCGTCCAACATCCTCCTCCTGTACTACCGCTGGAAATGGGCGGATGCGCTCAACGATATTGTCCATCTGTACCGCAGGTGCACTGTGTGTGTGTATCTGTATGTGTCTGTGTGTGTGTGTATGTGTGTGTGTGTGTATGTGTCTATGTGTATGTGTGTGTGTGTGTGTATGTATCTGTGTGTGTGCGTATGTGTATGTGTGTGAGTGTGTGTGTGTGTATGTGTGTGATTGTATGTATATGTGTGTGTGCGTGTGTATGTATCTATGTGTGTGTGTGTATGTGTGTATGTGTGTGAGTGTATGTTTATGTGTGTGTGTGTATGTATCTGTGTGTGTGTATGTGTGTGTGTGTGTGTGTATGTATCTATGTGTGTATGTGTGTGTGTACGTGTGTGTGTGTGTATGTGTGTGTGTGTATGTGTGAGTGTATGTATATGTGTGTGTGTGTTTATGTATCTATGTGTGTGTGTGTATGTATCTATCTGGGTGTGAGTGTATGTATATGTGTGTATGTGTGTGTGTATGTGTGTGTGTGCGTATGTGTATGTGTGTGTATGTGTGTGAGTGTATATATGTGTGTGTGTATGTATGTATCTATGTGTGTGTATCTATGTGTGTATGTGTGTGTGAACCAGTCATTTCTACACACATTGTGGGAATCGTGTGAGAGTGACGGAGTGCGAACGAAAAAAATGAATCCATTGCAGATTAAGCGTCAAAAAGAAGGGAGAAATGATGATAACGCAGAGCTGCGATGGGTGAAATGGCGATGGGCGTCTATCACTTTGCACGTCTTATGCTCACGAAGTGAAGCGATGGGTGGAATTTTTTTTTGGGGGGGGGGGGTGGTGTGGGGTGGAAAGTGCCGAGTGTGGGGTGGACAGCTTTTCGTTAATGCAATGCGTTTGTATGTGTGTAAAAATAATAACTTTCTCTTTCTGCATTTTGGATTACTATTCATCCCCCTCCACACATGTTTATCTACCTGTATGCATTCACCCTGGAACCCACCCACCCCCACCCAGCCATCCTGCTTTGGTTTTTTTGGGGGTGGGTGGGGGGAAAAAACAAAAAAAGAAATCGCATTTAGCAGATACTGGACATTGGTACATTTGCAAAATGGTTAATAACAACAACAAGAACAAGAATCCATTTATAGAGCGCCTTTCACGTCGGGAGGACATCCCAAGGCGCTGGACAGTTGGGTCAGGACCCGAGCATTGGGGGGGAAGTGGTCAGGGTGAGGGGGAGGGAAGGGAGGGAGCGAGGAGGGGGTAGAGAGTCGAGAGGGGAGGTGAAGGCTCGGTCAAAGAGAAAGGTCTTGAGACCGAGGAAAGGGAGGAGGCAGCGAAGGCACTGGGGGATGGAGTTCCAGAGCCTCGGGGCTGAGAGGCTGAAGGCCCAGCCACCGATGGTAGGGCGGTTGGGGCGGGGGGTGTGGAGCAGACCGGAGCCAGAGGAACGGAGGGTACGGGCAGGTAAGTAAGGGGATAGTAGGTCGGAGAGGTAGGAGGGAGCAAGGCCGGGAATGGCCTTGTAGGTGAGGATGAGGATCTTGAATAACCCATTGACAACCAATCTACAATGTTTGATGCAATGTCCCCTCTCCTCCCCAGTGTAGCATTTGTGCGCTTGAATCTGTCTCTACTTGTTCTAGTATGAGAATAATAATAATAATAATAATAATCCTTGCATCTGTTATTAGTCCCTTTCATTTCGAGAGGACTTCTCAAAGAGCTTCACGGGATTCACTGTCGATAATAATAATAAATGATAATAAGTGCAGTGACAGTGCATTTTGTAGGCAAACTGCATTCTAAATGATTATAAATGGATTTCTGCAAAATGCAATTTATTTCATTTTTTCCCAAACAAACCAGGCTGGGGTTACCGGGTAAATGCATCACAGGTAATATTAACACACGGGGGTGATGGGGGTGGGGTGTAGGGTAAGGGGGAAATGAGTAGAAACCCAAAATGCAGCACGAGAAAGTTTTTTTTTTACACACACACTGTCTGAACAGATCCTGGAGACCACTTGTTTGATCAAATAAATTCCACAAAGTTGAATTTAGGCTCTGTATTCAGAGGGTCAATCAATATGTCTGTCTGCAGGGCGTCTAACATCAGTCTCTCTGGTGTTTTAACACAAATATTGCCCAGACATTTATATGGAACAACGGCTTAGTCAAAGGAACTGCCTGAACTTTGCAGCATTCACTGTAAGTGTATCAGGATTATTTCTAATAATCCTTGTATTTGATATAGCGACTTATCACGTCTTCGAGACATCTCAAAGTGCTTCGCAGAGAATGTACTGCAAAGTGAATTGACAGTATATATTGTGGGCGAAACGGGCTATGCTGTGCTTTTTCCATTGTGAAATACGCTAAAGGCGAAACAGCTGTGGGTAACGGGAAATAAGACAAGATCATCAATGGTGGAAATGAAATCCAGTTGTTTTGGGGATCCTAAACATTCTCCACAGAGGCTTAGTCAGTGCCTGACAAAGGCTGACATGAAACCCTGACTGAACTAAAAGATTATCTCAGCTAAATGTTCAAAAACCTGCTCCACTATTGTCATGATTTGATCCCTACTAAAGGCACTGAAATATGCCGAAGCAGATATCATTTCTTAATCCTCTCTCTCTCTCTTCTGCTCGGACTTCAGGCTCATCAGTGCCTTCTACTATAGTCTCTCAGCTTTACTTGGCTGCAGCCTATGACTTCATGTCCGGCTATTAAATTGTCATCATGCCTTGACTAAAGAAAATGTCGAGGTTTCCCAACAGCGTGCTTGAAGATCTCTCGTTGTAAAAGCGTTTGGCTGCCACGTACAAGAATTGACTCACGTGTCTGCTGTCTGTCTATCACTCGCTGAACTTCTGAGGAAATTGCTGCTCTTATCTGTTCCAGTCTTCAATCCCCAAAGCTCCTGTATTGAAATTCAGAGGAGGGTTTTCTCTCTGCTATTTAGAAACAGGACTATCTAGGTCACTGGCTGCCCCAGTAATGCTACAGTATTTGGCAGCTATACTGGCTCTAATGTTTTTCTGTTTATAATCCTCGCATTTGATATGGTGCCTTGTCACGTTGCTCAGACGTCTCAAATCGCTTCATATAATATATTGTAAAGTGAATCGACTGTGTATTTGTGGGCGAAACACCGCACACCAAACCCGGGAATCGAACCCGGGTCCTCTCGCTTACCAGGCAAACGTGTTAACCACTGCTCTGCAGGACCCCTTATTTCATTCATTCGCTCCTTGTTGAAGCTTGTGCGTATATCTCGAATCACATCTGGAATATGGAAAAGAACAGGGTTGAAAAAAGACCTTCGATCCACCGAAGCACATCCTTCAACTCTCCCACCACCTGCATTTTCCACAACTCAATGGTCTATTTGCCTCCAGTAACTGGAGTACCTTGGGAGATAACGCCAAAGGTTTATTCCTTGAGCAAAGAGGATTTTTTTTATGTAAAAAAAAGGGCCATCTTGTTAAAATATATCGCATTCATATTGATGCACTGCTTTAAAAATACAATGAGTCAAAGGGCATGTCCAATATCAATTCTAAGCGTTCTAAACACTAATTCCCATTGATGGCTTTCGCTCCCATCTCCTGTTTTTTAACTTAAAAACTTATCTATAATATGCTTGTTACCATTCAGCTCCCCTCACACTGAGTTCCATCTGAATATTGGATGGACAGTAGCTCTTGTAAACCTTGTGTGATACTATCATTACTAACGCTTAGCCAATACATTCAATACAGGTCTTTCTGTGAAACCGAATGCAGAAGTTCACTGACCCGAGGAATTGTTGGATCCCCCTTTTCATAAATATTTTAATCAATAACCCCCCACACACCGCAAATTAAAAGGGATTTGAAGTCAGCACCATTGCACCGTAAGCAATTTCATAAATGTATATGCGACAGACAATAAGCTATCGAATGAGGCCAATTGTAGGGAACCAGCACTTTGACGGTTAAACGTTACTCCCAGTGTTGCCTGACTCATTGTTTGCGTTTCTATTTTTTTTTTGCCCCCATCAGTATTACCAACTTACATTGGAAAACAGCCTTCTTCAGTTCTGTATAGAAAGATCGGGCGCGACTCCCAACACAAATTGGGTTCGCGGCAATTCTTTTAGATTTCGCCTCCATTCCGGTCCGATCTGTCACAAGCCGTTGATGCATTTTTTTTTACACTTGTACTCACCATCAAACCATTGACCGTATTGCATTTATTCGAAAGGGTGAGTGAGTCGAACCATATAAGGCAGCAATTTGTGGCTTGTTTCTTGACGTAAATTGCTCCTGACACGAGCATTCCAGTTTCCCATTATTTTATGTGACTAAAGTATTTATGACAGATGGTTACTGTCCTCATCTATTTAGGCTGTGAGTTAATGCTTCCAGGCAATGGCCTACATACAATACAGATGTTGTTCTCCTTCCCTTCCCTTCACCTAGTTCCCTTCCCTTCGCACAGTTTTACTTGTTATAACCCCACAAATTATAGATTTGTTCTAATTGTTATAATTCTTTGTTATATAATTTTGTATTGCCTACAAAATAATAAAAGGTTAATATATTTTTTTTCCCCTCTGGTTTACATTTGCCTCAGGACGGTCGAACGGAATGAAATTGTTCTTTTATCAGCTCAGAAATATTTGGGATCGAAAGAAGTACTTTCAACGGACTCTTCAGGTTTTTGTGCCTCTCAGACACCCGCAATGCTCTTTATTTAAGGTGTATCGGTTTGTCCTCGTCTGGTTCAGATCAGGCAATGCTGCAGCTCGTTTTTAGCCTACATGCGGGAACAATTGTCCTGCTTACATTTAGGATTTTGTTCTGCATTCCTTTGGTTTCTTGAACCACCCCCTCATCCAAGGCCCTTCTCAAGGGGAGTGGGGGGTGGGGTGAGAGGGGTGTTGGTTGAGGGGGTTGAATTACTTTCTCCTTGGTACTGTTCTTAATTGCACGCTTCGGAATGTATTTTTACTGTGAACAAATCCCGTAGCCAGCACTTGCACCTGTTCAACTGCAAAAGTTCCTGAACGTGCTGATGGATGAAGGAAAGCAACTGCTACTGTTTCAACTGTGGGTGTTTCGCCCACAAAATCGACAGTCAATTCACTTTACAGTATACCCTGTGAAGCGCTTTGAGATGCCCCGAAGACGTGATGAGGCGCCGTATTAAATGCAAGGGTTATTATTGTACATTATGTTTTCCCCCCCTGAAAATTGAACGCGAGGTTCCTCTGCTCGTACTGCAGATGGAATGGCAGTGAGTCAGCCGAGGCAACCAACAGCATCAACGATCTTCAGAGGAGCTGGAGCGCGAAGGTACATGCCTTACACAGAAAAGGGGTTACCCTGATTGAGCTAAATTCTCTTGATCAGCAACACGTGAGGTTTATCTCAGAGTTTATATATCTGCAAAAGAGAAATTTACGACACGCAGCAGTCACCACAGAGGTAAGTCGTGGCCGCTGGCAAAATTGTACTTCCGTTTTATATTTTTAAACTTTCCTTCGGAAGAAAAGATACGAGAGTTTAAATGCTGGCCTCTTATCTTCCCTGTGCGCTGTAAGAGAGATCTTGCCGGGCTGTTATGCATGTTAATTAGAATGATAATCCTTATATTTGATATAGCGCCATATCACGTCATTGAGACGTCTCGAATTGCTTCGCAGAATATAAAGTGAATTGACTGCATATTATGTGTGCGAAACGGGGCACCCAATTGCGTTCAGCAGCGTCCCACAAACATGTGGTCGTGGATTGAATGACCACATCTATTTTGTTAAGAATGGAGGCGGGACAAGAAGCACACATTTCTGTCAAAAACCTATATGGCACTTTTATGTATTTATTTTCTGCAAAGCAATAAATAGCCAGAAGCTACCTAAACAAGGATTTAAGAAATAATGTTCTTTATTTACAGGAACTGATACACATGCATAACAAGGAGAGCCGAACTGTGGGAAGCTGTATTTCAGAATCCGACACTGGTGCGTTCTTCCACTTATTTTTCTCCTTGTAGCGATGGGAGACAAGAGAACAAAAATCATGGGAACATAGAAGGGCGAAAGACAAGGTCCATCCAGTTCGCCTTCCACCGTTCTGGCAGTCGAACACACATGTCGTGATCCAAACTATGTAATAAGAACGTAAGAATTTGCTGGGCGAAGGATTGAAAAGACTTTAGTGGTTGTTTTTTTTTTCTAAATCATGGATTGCTGTTCCTCTCAATGAGTGTGACCAGCGACTGATTTTGACTGAGATCTCACGATGCAGCAATTTCACTTCGTTAAACAAGAACCCTCCCGATCCATGGATTCGGAAGTTTAATTCTCTGGAATAACTATTTTTGCATCTTCAAATTCGATTCCACTTATTTAGTAATGAACAGGAAAACTCGCTAATTCCAGAATTCTAACTACTTTATTAATGGTACATTATTCCAGAGTTCGTGCATTTCGCAAAACACCGCCAATTTGTCCACAGGAGGGAATGTGTGTTTGGGTCTATTTTTACACTATTTTGGCTTTGGTGTAGAATGCAGTCTTGACATTGTAGGAGATAAACTGGAGTTTGAAGCAGTTCTCCCAAGGTCTCAATCTGTCCAAATATTTACCCACTGTTCCTTTAAACAGGATCTTTCTTCACGGCTAACGGTTTTAACTAAAAATATGTATTCAATAAACTAATATGTGTTTGTGTGTAAGTTTAAAAAATAATTTTACAGTACTCAAACTAATTCGAAGCGCTTTGGGACGTCCTCCCGACGTGAAAAGCGCTATATCAAATGCAAGGATTATTATTATTATTAATTAAGAATAGTTCAAAGCAGATCCACAAAATACATATTTCTTTCCTCATTCATATTTCTCTTTAGAACAGTCCTTATTCTGCGTGTTCCCAGAGTCGCTGGTCTGTTTGGAAATGTTCTGCAAAGATGTGGTGGAATTGGCGGAGGAACTGTACAGGAACTCTGTCGATGTTCTGGAAACAAGTGGGGAAATCATGCCCGACCCTGACCAGGAGTGGTGGAAAATAAATCTGGCCGATTGGATGCAGTACGTTACCAAAGTGCTGCCCGCCTTGGAAGATACAATCATCAACATTCGCAACATCACCCACCAGTTTCTCGAATACTTTAAAACAACTACTTTAGCCTGCAGCCTGAAGAGCCATCCGGATGTTGGATACTACGTGAGTGACTACAGCTTCAAAGAGGCGTATATAAAGAAAGTGTGGAGTTTATAATGGACACTGTTATTAAAAGTGCTAATAAAAGCTGAATAAATCTCCAGAAGAGTCTGTGCCATGTCGCTGAATGAGAGTGAAATGAAAGAAATAATTGTGATTAGCATCTTGTCTTGAATAACTTGGGAGGGGCAGAAAACAGCCAACACCAAGTGTCATTCCAAAAAAAGAATAAATACAAGGAGGCTTTTGTTTTAAGGATGTTTCGCAGCATGGTCCACAATTCCATGTGATTATATTTACTAAGTTAGTTGTCAAACCATTGACCTGCTTCCGCAAATAAGCTTTGAAAAGCGCAATGATTGTACGCAGTAATACCTCATGCAAAAGCTAAAGTTACTTTTTTTTCTCCTGCAGTATTCTTTATCAATGTACATTATGAATTGCCTCTAAAACTGCAAGCCTGTTCATCAAACTGTGCCAAAGCCTGCTAAAGTAGATCTGGTTGTACAATCACAGGACAGTTGTTTTAAGTAACTAGACAGCTGTGAAGCCCTAAAACTCTGATCACTGAGTTAGAAACTGATCTTGTGTTCGGTGATTTGGAATTGAATCTGTGGCACAATCCAAACGGTTACACGTTGTCAGTGTTAAATGTACTACTGTATGTGAACGATTTCTATTGATTACAATTCAGGAAAAAAACTTCTCATGTGATTTCATGCCAAATTCTTAACGACCTCCCTGAATGAAATGTAATTTGATTTTCTCTCATTGCTATGAAATATTCTAATGCCGTTTAACGGATTCTTATACGTTAAAAAAAAAATCAAGTACAGCTGTGGCTTTTCGTGTCAAAATTGGACAAATTGTTAAAAGCTTCACTCGAATAAATGTTTGACTTGGAAGTTTGCCTTTCGATTACGACCTTTGCTTTGAGCACTTATACACAACTTTGTGTGGTTAACTGGTCATATAAAAGTATGATCGTGTCCCCGGAATCTTAAGTGAGAAAAATGCCTCAGCCGTTCCAAAATAAGAGAATTGACCCCTTTTTACTCTCAAAAACTAAAGGCAAAAAAAACAAACAACCCCAAAACATTTTAAAAATACTTAACACAGTTGGCACGGAGGGAGGCCTGGAAAGTGGCGTTCCTTTGCTGAAGCAGAACCCCATGGATTATTCCAAACGCCCTCATACAATTCACATTGGAAACCTAGGAACAGGAGGAGGCCATTCAGCCCCCACCCACCCCGAACCCGTTCCGCCATTCTATAAGATCGTGGCTGATCTGTAACTCGAGTCCAATTACCCGCCCTTGCCCCGTATCCCTTAATACCCTGACCCAACCGATATCTATCCAATTCGGTCTTACATTTATTCCCTTAATAAAGAGACATGCGTTTTGGAGATCCTCTCTCTCTCTCTCTCCTCTTTCCTTCCTCCTTCCCTCTCTCCTTCCTTTCCCTCTTCCCTCTATTCTTCCCCACCTCCACTCTTTTCTCTATCCTCCTCTTTCCCTCTTTTCTCTTCCCTCCTCTTCCCCTCCTTTCTCTATCCTCCTCTTTTCTCTATCCCCTCTTCCTTTTTTCTCTATCCCCCTCTTCCCCTCCTTTCTCTATCCTCCTCTTCCCCTTTTCTCTTCCCCTCTTTTCTCTATCCCCCTCTTCCCCTCTTTTCTCTTCCCTCCTCTTCCCCTCCTTTCTCTATCCTCCTCTTCCCCTCTTTTCTCTTCCCTCCTCTTCCCCTCTTTTCTCTTCCCTCCTCTTCCCCTCCTTTCTCTATCCTCCTCTTCCCCTCTTTTCTCTTCCCTCCTCTTCCCCTCCTTTCTCTATCCTCCTCTTCCCCTCCTTTCTCTATCCTCCTCTTCCCCTCCTTTCTCTATCCTCCTCTTCCCCTCCTTTCTCTATCCTCCTCTTCCCCTCTTTTCTCTTCCCTCCTCTTCCCCTCCTTTCTCTATCCTCCTCTTCCCTCCTTTCTCTTCCCTCCTCTTCCCCTCTTTTCTCAATCCCCCTCTTCCCCTCTTTTCTCTATCCCCCTCTTTCCTTCCTCTCTCTTCGCCCACTACTTGGCCTCTTTAAAGCGACCAAAACAAACCAAGACCCCCCCCCCCCGCCCCTCCCGGACAGGTCTTGTTGCAAACTGCCTGAGCAGTGCCTCGGTCGCCTGTCAATTGCCAAAACCTTTGCTTTGTGTGTTGATTGGTATTCAAAACCTTGTAAAAGAATTTAAATAAAAATGACTTTGCAACTTGCGGCTGTGACGTTACTTTACTTTGGGTTTAAAGACTGAGGCGCTGACGGAGGCACGCGGCAACGTCATCGGAGACGCGACGCGAGCGAAATAGGCCCCACTCAGGGAGCTGCTGGTGGACGAGGATGAGCGGGAAGCCGAGGAAACGGTCCCGGGACCGGGAGAGGCGGGGCTCGGGGTCCCGGGAGCGGGAGAGGAGGGGCTCGGGGGAGCGGGAGAGGCGGGGCTCGAGGTCCCGGGAGCGGGAGAGGCGGGGCTCGGGGTCCCGGGAGAGGCGGAGCTCGGGGTCCCGGGAGCGGGAGAGGCGGTGCTCGGGGTCCCGGGAGCGGGAGAGGCGGGGCTCGGGGTCCCGGGAGCGGGAGAGGCGGGGCTCGGGGTCCCGGGAGCGGGAGAGGCGGTGCTCGGGGTCCCGGGAACGGGATGGGCAGCAACGGCGGCGGCACAAGAGGCGCGAGAGGCCCAGGAATAGGCGCCACCATCGCAGGTCCAGGTCCAGGTCCCAGTCGAGGAGCAGCAGGGAGAGGAGTCCTGCCCCTCCTCCAAGCACCAGGAAGATGCGAGTCCACTCACCCCCTCCTCCTCGGGCTCGCCCCAGACCCCACTCGCGCTCCCCGGCCCCGGGCTCCAGGGGCTCCTCTCCCTCCCTGTCCTCCTGCTCCTCCTCGTCCTCCTCTTCCTCCCGCTCCAAGAGCCCGAGCAGCGTCAGCCGTCTGCTGACCCTCCAGGAGAAGCTGAAGCAGAAGGAGGACAAGCAGAAGCGCAGGGAGATGGCCAAAGCCATGGAGACCCCCGAGGAGAAGCGAGCTCGCCGCCTGGCTCGGAAAGAAGCCAAGGAGCGGAAGAAGAGGGAGAAGATGGGCTGGAGCGAGGAGTACATGGGCTACACCAACGCAGACAATCCGTTTGGAGACAACAATCTTCTTGGCACCTTTATCTGGCAAAAGGTTGGGTTACGTTATTAATACTAACCCTCGCGTTTGAGCTAATAATAATAGTAAGAGATAGCACCTCATTACATCTTCGAGACGTCTCAAAGCGCATCACTGAATATACAGTGAAGAGAATTGACTGGTTGTTTTGTGGGCGAAACGCAGCAGCCGATTGCGCACAGCAACATATTATTAATGGTACACCCACCGACAAGGATCTGTGTTGCTCCTCGATGCACCTCTTTTAATAGTGAAGTAGTTCAGTGCTCGCATAATAGTAATAATAAACAATAATAATAAGGATCCTTTGCTTTGACACAGCGTCTTATCATGTCAATGAGATGTCTCAAACTGTTTCACAGCACATACTGTTTACATTTCGTCAGGCAGGTCTACATCATGCACAAATTTATACTGAGCGCAGGATGTGCTGACGTGGACAGTGCTTTTTTGCGAGGGGTTTACTCTTTTGTTCTTGTCTCGCAGGCATTGGAAAAAAAAGGAATTGGCCATCTGGATGAAAAGGATCTGAAAGATAGAAACAAGAGGATACAAGAGGAAAACCGTATGGAACTGCAGAAAGTATGGATTAGTCTCTTTTGTTTTTCACAACTGCTTTCCTTCCAATATGAAGTACTCTATAGTACCTGTGAGCAGAATGCTTTTATTTCCTTCTATTCGCTCGGTAGCTTGTGAAAAGGTCACCCTGTTATCAGAGCTGGGTAGAAACTGTTTGCTTTGTTTGATAATAATAACAACAATAATAATAGTAATCTTTGCATTTGATACAGCGCCTTTTCATGTCTTCGAGACGTCTCAAAGCGCTTCACAGGATATACTGTAAAGTGAATTCATTATATTTTGCCGGCTAAACGTTTAAGTGATTGCTTTCCACTCTGTTTGTAGGTGAAGCAGCTGCGCTTGGAGCGGGAACGCGAAAAGGGCCTCCGTGAACAGGAGCTGGAGATGTTGCAGAGGGAGAAGGAAGCCGAACACTTCAAGACTTGGGCGGAACAAGAGGATTATTTCCACCTGCAGCAAGCTAAACTGAGGTGTGTAGATCAATCACTTAGAAATGAACTCCTCTATCTCTCTCTGTGTAGGTCTCATTCTCTGTCTTTTTTAATAATAATAATTAAATCACTCAATCCAAGACTGTTTGTAGGACACTGCTGTGAGCAATTGACTGCCCACAAAATACACAGTCAATTAATTTTAGAATAAATTATTTGAGACTTCTCAAAGAGTTAATAAGGCGCTATATCAAATGCACGGATTATTATTATTATTTTCCTCCATTTATTCAAGCTTGCATCCTCCCTTGCCCTCCACCCCTTGACTATCCGGCGCCTTGGGAAGGCCTCCCGATGTGAAAGGCGCTATACAAAAATAATTTGTTGTTGTATGTTTCTGTTTCTCTAGCGCTGTTTTCAAGATGGCCATATTATCATCCCCGTCTCTGATTTGTTTGCTTCAGATCAAAGATCCGTATCCTGGGAGGCCGAGCAAAGCCAATCGACCTCCTTGCGAAGTACATCAGTGCGGAAGACGATGACCTGGCTGTGGAGATGCACGAACCCTACACCTTCCTGAATGGGCTGACTGCATCAGACTTGGAGGATCTTCTCGAAGATATTCGAGTGAGTAGCACCACTTAATAAATGCAGGACTGCATCCCTTTCATTGGAACCGCAGTCAGAATTTAATGGCTTCAAATCAGGTTGTACTATAGTCTCAGAAGCCCAAAAAGGGGACCCGATTTTTGGCATCTGTTTTGTTCCCACTGTTTAGGTCAACATCGCAAAACTAATGACTTGTTCTTAAATCTCAGTGGGAGAGGCCACGAGGATGTTAACAATGCGAATTGCAAATGTCATAGTTGGTAAAGGAAGGCATCAAGGGGTCATTTCACTGAATTAAAGTGCAAATTAATGGACGGGAATTCTGGTCAGTGTTGTAAGCAGCACCTTTGGTGATGTCTAGTGGGAGACATTGCGTGAATTTTAAATGGGGGAAGGGGAGGGGGAGATTCCCCATTATCAGTTGACTTTGGCAAAGGTGCCGCACATTTAACACTGACCAGAATTTCAGCCCGTGTGTGATGCCTTACAGGAATTTTTCTGTTGCTCTAGCAATACGTGATACTGACACTGGGTGGAGATGTTCTTTGCATTGACATCCTTCGTGTTCATTTTTCTTAAAAAAAAGTGGCTTCGGAATCCAGTAAAGAGATCTTTGCAGCGCGTGTGATTTAATTCTCGCTCCTTTATAAAGTAACGGTCCATTCCAACGGCTTTTCGGCACATTTGGACTCATAATAATAATAATTCCTGCATTTGATACAGCGCCTTATCATGTCTTCGAGACGTCTCAAAGCGCTTCACAGAATATACTGTAAAGTGAATTGACTGTATATTTTGCGGGCAAAGTAGTACACTATGTGGAAATGGGATAATAAATGGAGCCATGAAATGTGAATGTCACACACCTTTCCTTCAGGTTTACATGGAACTGGAGCAAGGGAAGAACGCTGACTTCTGGAGAGATATGACCACCATTACTGAGGACGAAATAAGTAACCTGAAAAAGTTGGAGGCTTCAGGAAAAGGACCAGGTAATGGGGACCCTCCCATGTGAGGAATACCTCAGAACTAAGAACATTGTTTTGTCTAATAAGACTTCCCGTAATAGTGCGACATCCAGCTCAAAAGGGTTTCGTTTTATCAGAGTGACGACATAATAAGTTTAAATTAAACTGTTTTGGGCAATAACAGTATTCCGGTTATGATAGTGGAATCCTTCACGTTCAGGATGGAACGTGAAGGTTGTCCGTATCAACCACAGAGCTCATTCCTATTAAATATCACAATTATGTGTGATTGGAATCAGATCTGTGGCGCGATCTAGTGGTGGATTAGAGTGACATTCATGCCTGTGGTTTGGTGTATCACACTAATGGTATTACCTCATTCTGTGCCCTTTTCTCTGTCTCATGATAAATGGATCAAATACAACACAAAGCCATTGAGGCCAGCAGTCTTTTAATGCTAACTCTTCTTTGAGAGTTTTTTTTCCCGAGTGTTAGCAACAGTTTGTGGTCTGAGGCCAAGTCACTGAAGAAACAGCTCGATGGAAGACAAAAGTTTAGTGGAAAGATGAGATCAAACGGGCTGAATTATTTTCTTCATTTGAAATTCTCTTGTGAGCAGCAATGCATGGTTCATTACTTCGACATTAATTGTGAAAAATTGTATTAAAAGCAAAGATGAGCATTTCTTCTTCAAAGCGTAATGCTTTTTGTGTTTTTTTTATTGCTCAGGAGAGCGACGAGAGGGCATCAACACCTCAGTGAGCACTGATGTGCAGTTGGTATTTAAAGGGAAAACCTACAATCAGCTGCAGGTGCTGTTCCAGAACATTGAGGCCAAGATCAAAACTGGCGGCTCAAATCTGGACATTGGCTACTGGGAATCCTTATTGCAACAGCTGAAAGCCTATATGGCTCGAGCCAGGTACGACTGACTGGTCAGGGGGTTGGAGGAATGCAAACAAAACCAGTATGTCAAACGATTGGCAAAGTAGTCCCGACTCTGACTGCAACTGGCTGTTGTGTATGTCCTCCAGATAATAAATACAGAAGTCACTGGAAAAACGCAGCAGGCCGGGCAGCATCTATGGAGAGAGGAAAATTAGTTAGCATTTCAGGACTATGCCCTTTCGTCAGAACTCGAGATAAATTGGTCATTTATTCATGGCTGGCTGTGCACAAAACAACACTCATTTTTGCCTGTGAATATACAGTTATTACAGGGTCCTTGTCAGTAATTCCCTGTGAAGCGCTTTGCAGTGTTTCGATGCTGTATTAAAAAGTAATGATTGTTGTCAATGGCATTTAGTCGTTTCAAGAGGGGATCAATACTGTAAAACATTTTTAAGGATTGTAAGGATACCCGTAGGGCTCAGAAGGAATGCCTTTCACCATTGAGGAATGGTGGAGTGGATTTTGTTTTAGTGACATTGGGCTAGAGAATATTTTTGTCCTCTCGACATGAAAGCTACTGTATATACATGTAAATATGCACTGTTTCATTTCGTCAGGAAAGTGGATGTTTTGTGAAATGCATGGAATGTCCTTAATCTATTGAGTTCTCTTGGGGGGGGGGGGGGAAATGATGTGTTTCTGAAAGCCTGAAATTTTCAAGCCTGTAGTTAGTCCCAGTGCTGATCTGCACATAACCTTCCAATTGACAGCGATCTGGAAATGTATTTCAGATACACTGGGGAATTATCTGAACAGCGGATTCCAAAAAAAACTCACTCTCTCTCGTTCATTTATTTAATTTTAAATCTGCCAAATGAGAGAGGCTATGTTTAAACAGAACTTGATGACAGTTGTGTCATCGGCTATACTTGGTATTTACACAAATGTACAGATGTGTTTCATTAGTACTGGAAAACATATTTAATATTGGACCTGTTTATTTTCTTTGGGAGGGAGGGGGAGAGAGAGGGAGGGAGGCAGGCAGAGAAAAAAAACTTGTTTATTTTGTTAATTTTTTGTGATGATTCTTCAGTTGCTAGAGCATTGGCGTGCTTTTTAGTTTCATGCCTGAGAGAATAAGAGTCCAACAAGCCATCTCCCACTCATTTTATATTTACACAAAACCATCAGATGCACAACAACCATGTCCAAAAAAAAAACATTGGTCACTCAATCAATGACCTTTTGTGGGATACTGCTGTGCGCAATTGGCTGCCACGTTTTGCCCACAAAATATATAGTCAATTCACTTGACAGTGTATTCTATAAAGCACTTTGAGACATCTCAATGACATGATAAGACCCTATAATCAAATGCAAAGATTATTATTATTATCTTGCACTATATGGCACGTTTCACACGGTGTAGTGTCTCGGAGCGCTTAACATTGGCGGAGCCGGGGAGAGGGGGGAGCTGACCGTAGGCACAGTCGAAGAGGAAGGTCTTCGGATGTGATCTGATCTGAAGATCGCATTCCGTTGATTGCTGTACAGACATTGGTAAAGGCCATGTTTAGCTACAAATACAGTCACTACACTTGACAGCCGTTACCTGTGAAGTGCTTTGAGACACATTCATGTTCTAGGTGCTGTAAGGCAAGGATGATTAATTATGTGTTGCAGGGATTTTTGGAAAGTCAGGTCAGTTATGGTGACGAAAGCTAGCTAGATCCCTCTCATTTTCATTTCTCTCCCGCCCTGGTAATGGTAAAGCCCGATTTTGTAATTCCACCCCCCCTCCCACCCACCCCTGGTACCTTCTCTCCTGTCTGAGAACAATCAACTGGGATCGACTCTGGGACCTTTCTTGACCTGTGCAGCTCCCCACATGAAGCACACTCAGATTTTGTTTGGATGTTTGGACATGCCATCGGTCACCCCCCTTCCCCTCCCTTCTCCCTCCCTGACCCCAGCTCAGGTCTGAAATGCTGTACTCTGTCCAGCGCCGTGGGACGTCCTCCCGACGTGAAAGGCGCTGTACACGTGTAATCTTGTTGTTGTTGTTGGATACCCAGTCTCTTTGTGGCATTTTCAACAGGCTCCGTGAAAGACACCAGGACGTTTTGCGGCAGAAGCTTTACAAACTGAAGCAGGAGCAGGGAGTGGAAAGTGAACCTTTGTTTCCCATTATTAACAAGGAATCAAAATCGTCTAATCAGTACGTATCTTCGTGCATTTTTAAGTGGATTCTTGCATATGGCTACTCTGAATGTTTAGCGCTGTTTTCCTGTCATACTAACGGGTGGGTTGATCTAATTTCATATTGCATAGTTCAAAAAGTGTATGTATTTTAATCTCTGTGATACAGAACATTGGCACTCAACTGTCCAATAGATATATATTTATATGGTGTATGTTTAATATGCAATCAAATGTAAGTTAATATCAGCGTGCAGTTCAAGTTATGCCATACAATATCATTCCAAGTCAAATTTGGCCCTGAGACTTCTAATAATTGTAGTTTACCAGTTTGGGAGCTCCTGTTATTGAGCATAACATGGTGGGTGGGTGTTCTGGATGGTGGGAAAATACAAGGGTAATATTGATATTGATGAATTAGTTGTGCTCTGCTGTCTTGGTTTGTGACATGGTTGCAACCCTTTGATGTGTTGTTTATTTCAACAACATTTGTGTCCTGATAATTTGTCTAAATAACTTGTTGTGCACAGAACTCGGGGGATAGGAGGTTTAGAAAGCTTTGTGTAAGTCAGCTCCTTTTGTTTCATTCTTGCAACAGTCAATTTATTTTACAGTCTGGAAGATATGATAAGGCGCTATATCAAATGCAAGAATTATTATTATTTCGGGTATTCCTGAAGAGCAGCCTTTATGTACAAACCCATCTCACAGCTACTCACAGTAAATTGCCTTCTCAATCCATGTCAATGAGGTAATACTGGTTATTAAATCTGTGTTTGATTCTCTCCCTTTTGTGTAATATTTCAGCAATGCTTCCTCGCCCGACCATTCTGACCCGGACACCTCGCCTCTCAGGTAAGGATGTTTATATGATTGGGACAGAGTTTCGAGGAGTAACAAGCAGTACTGTGTATAGGGGATCCGATAACAGTTCCACAATGGTTATAACGGGTTGCTTGCTGCCCATTTTATTCATACGTAAACTTGGATGAGAGTAATTACTGTGTAATCTCAAACTTGCTGATGTTATCAAGCTATCTGTGAAAGTGAGTAGTTTAAACATAAATAGCATTTGGCTACTCTCTGCCCTCCACCCTTCCTGATCCCAATCCCCCCAGGTCAGGTTTAAATCCCTGACTGTCCAGCGCCTTGGGATGACTTCCTGACATGAAAGTATTGTATTTGAAAGGTTCACAGAACTGAACTTGTTTTCAGGAGGATTTGTGGGGAAGGGATATGATCCAGTTTTTTTTTAAAAAAACTACTGAAACAAGTGCATTATATCACTTCTACTTAATTGGAGTGCATTTTGAGAGTAGAGATCACGGGACAAAGTACAAGAGTCTTCCTTTTTAATGAGCGAGTTACCAGCCAAAAGTTCAGAAGTAAATGAGTTTGGCAATCTCATCGCACAAGAATATTGTGCCGAGGTTGAACGATCCAATTTGGTTCATCGTGTCTTACCTGAAAAGGTTTAAGTTCACCACAACAATTCACGGAAGTCGGCTTGTCTTTGTCCTTCATCCAGTAGTTTTATCTTTGGATAAGTTGCTACTTCTCGATGTATTGTTCCCTCAGACCCAGTGAAACAGGGCAGGCTGAGTTGCGTGAGAGTCTCTATAAACGTAAACAGGGAGTGGAGAATGAGCCCTTGTTTCCCATTGTAAAGAGAGAGCCACAGACTCCCACGGACAAGTATGTACCCGCTTACGTTTTGAAGTGGTTCCATCACTAGACTGTTAAACGACCTCTCTTTTCAGCATTAAAGAGTTGAACGGACACTTCCCACCCACCCATTTCATATCAGATTACTTAATTCCTCACCATATTGTCTTGCGACACGCTTTACATGGTGTCTATATTGTTAAATTCTCCTTCTCCATGTGCTCCGTGGTCACATCTCCACTCCTGGGTCAGTGCTGCCAATTTATCTCTTGCACAATTTCAGGCAGTGATTTTTATTTTTTAATTTTTTGGGGGGCGCCGTTCAAATGCTAGGGATTAAATTTGTGAATGATTCAAGCTGAGAAGTGTGCGGAATGTGATTCCACAGCATCTTTGGGGGCCACTTTGTGGTAAGGCACGTAAGTCAGAGTTGAGTATACGTTTGCCTGTTGCCTCAGATTCACTTTGAGCTTTTGTGCAGTTTCTGGGAAAAGGAGTGGGTCATTCTCCACCCACAACCATCCCCCTAATTCAGGAAATGTTTAATTATTTGGGGAACAAAATTGACGTTGGTGCAGATTCAGTTTTCTTCTTTTAATGACTTCTCCCTGGGACACAAAAACTTTAAACTGTGTTTAAAGTCCTTTAACACATTGTCTCGCGACATGCTTGTCTATATTGCTATCACCTCCTGCTCCACATGGATTTATTCGCCTCGTGCAGGTCAAAAGGAGACCAGGAAATGCCAGGCACCTCCTCTGCAGAAGCTCCCGAGCCCAACCCAACAACTGAAGAGAAGCCAGAGACCGAGGCTGAAGGGGAGGCGGTGCTCACCGAGGAGGACCTGATCCAACAGAGCCTGGATGACTTCGACGCCGGGAAATACAGCCCCAAGTTGCTCGGTCCTCACGAGCTGCCCATCGATTCCCACGTCGTCGATCCTGACGAAGACCTGCAAAAGCTGCTGATGGCCAGACAGCAGCTACAGGTCACAGGTAAGACGAGGCCTCATGTGTTAAGCAAAGTGAGCTGCGAATTTCGACCGTTATTTCTAGCCGATTCTAACTCACAACGGTAAACGTTCTCCCCGTCCCTACAAATATTCAGCGTGGCTCCACCTGCTTATTCCCTACTCTTTTCAAGTTGCTGCAGCTCTGTAAAATTCAAATTGATCCTTAATCTCTCACCCATCAATTCAACTTTCGGTTTATTCCCTAAGCTGTTTACGTCCACTTACTGCAGCTGGCTGGCATTTATCTTAACTCCCTATCAGACTCTTCTAGCTTCTCAATGGTAAGTCGAGGGGAAAAAAAGAGAATGTATTTAAATGGAGGTAGGATTACGCAGAGGCCTGTCTGCACCATTACCATTGAAGGATGTAGAATTAATTAGGATTTTATGGCAGTATTTTTCCAACGCGCTTTGTATCATAACCAACACAAAGGCAGATTGTTAAAGAGACGCCTGCTCGTTTAAGAGGTCCGTGTCTTTCAGGCTAGAAACCTGTGTAAGTTGCACCAGTTTCATTCTGGGTCGAAAGAGAAAACGGTCGGCCATCGCGTTGATCACCCGGGTGGGTTTCTTTTTATCGTGCAGGAGACGCGAGCGAGAGTGCTGAAGACATGTTCGTGCGTAAAGCCAAAGAGGGGATGGGGAACGACGAGGCTCAGTTCAGTGTCGAGATGCCCTTGACGGGCAAGGTCTACCTGTGGGCCGACAAGTACCGTCCCCGTAAACCCCGTTTCTTCAACCGGGTGCACACGGGCTTCGAGTGGAACAAGTACAACCAAACCCACTACGACTTCGACAACCCTCCGCCCAAGATCGTCCAGGGCTACAAGTTCAACATATTCTACCCCGACCTGATTGACAAGAGGTCGACCCCCCAGTACTTCCTGGAGCCCTGCACGGACAACAAAGACTTTGCCATCCTGCGCTTCCACGCTGGCCCTCCGTACGAAGACATTGCCTTTAAGATCGTGAACCGCGAGTGGGAGTACTCCCACCGGCACGGCTTCAGGTGCCAGTTCGCCAACGGGATATTCCAGCTGTGGTTCCACTTCAAGCGCTACCGATACAGGCGGTAGAAATCAGGCGGAGGATTATCACCGACTGACCAACCTTGCTTTGTATTTATCAAGGGTCCTTTGCAGGGTTCTTCATTGTGACGGGCGAGAGACTAGTCAAAGGGGATCTTTTACGTCTAATTTTTTAATAATAAACTGGTCACTTCAATCCGTGACTGTTTGTGGGGACGCCGCTGTGCGCAGTTAGCTGCCGCGTTTCACCCACAAAATGCACGGTCAATTCACTTTATGGTATATCCTGTGAAGCGCTTTGAGGCGTCTGGAAGACGCGATGAGGCGCTGTATGAAATATAAAGATTATTATCATCATCTTTTGAAAGTGAGACTTGACGAGTGATTTTTCTCGAGCGTTCGAAGTCTGTGACAGGTTTGGGCATCTGTGTGGTGGCTGTCGGTTGCTCTCAGTGAGACTGACTCAGGTTTGACGTTTGGACCTGAAGTCTGAGTGAACCTGACACACAAACATTTAGGGGCCGATCTCTCAATATCACGGTGTTTGCAATTCAGATATTATTTATCTGATGTTCTCTCTCTCTCTCTCTCTCTCTCTCTCCTCTCTCTCTCTCTCCATTTCTGTGGCTTCATTCCAGTGCAGATCGGTAACAGGGCATTCTGTTCTCTGCCAATTTCGCCTACAAGATAAACAAGCAATCCACTTTACATTGTATCCTGTGAAGCGCTTTGAGACGGCTCAATGACGTGATAAGTGCTATATCAAAGAGAAGGATTATATTATGGCTGTGTGCGAGACATTGCCATGTGCAAATTGACCTGTGTCCGCCTACAAATTAGGCGTTTGCTGCACAGTAATTACAGTAAATAAAAGTGACCACCACCAACATCAACTTGTATTTATAATGCGCCCTTCACGTGGGGCAGCATCCTGGAGTGCTTAACCGCGCAGTAAAGTAAAATGTGGAGCAGAAGTTATTAATCCGCTAGTTTATGTTTGCATCAGTGTGTATCAGTCTTCTCAAAGAACCGTAAGAGTTGCACATGAACTGATAACTCTGCATTAAGCATTTCCATGCATTGTATTTGTTTGTGTGCGCGTGTGTATACACAAAGAAAACCTGTTTAAAAGTTACTCACTGGGAATAAGACTTTTAAAATGTCAGACAATAACCCCCCCCCCCCCCCCCACTATTTCTCCCCTCCCACCCCATTGCAAGCTAGAGTTAGGGGCCAAGCGTGCAGTGTCAAGTTCTTTGAGACATCCTCGTGACCTGAAAGGCACTGTATAAAGTGCTAAGGGTAGAGTTCCAAATCCAGATGGGGACTCTGGGGATTGCCGGTATCGTGTTGCTGGAGTTCCTAGAAGGATCCATCCCGGATCCTCGCACCTCATTATTCCTCAGCGGAAGCGGTGGGTGGGTGGAACGACTGTCCGCAAGTGAACATGAGGCGAGTTTTAGCAAAGGGGTCTGATATGATGACTTATCTCTTCAACCGTGCCTTCACCTCCCCTCTCGACTCTCTACCCCCTCCTCGCTCCCTCCCTCCCTTCCTTCCCCTCACCATTTCCCCCCCCAATGCTCGGGTGCCGACCCAACCGTCCAGCGCCTTGGGACGTCCTCCCGACGTGAAAGGCGCTCTATGAATGCAATCTTGTTGTTGTTGTTGTTGTTGTTATGGATGAGAGGCAAGGGCCAGACTGGAACTGATGTAATGTTATTGCGTCGGTCAACCAGTAGGGTGCGCCTCAGCAAAACCATTGACCCAAACGAACCACAGCCTGATAACAGCGACTCAAAACCAGCGTCGCCGCATTGGAGAACACTGCGAGGAAATCTTTAGTGGTTTTAAATAAAAATCCACCTCCTCGAGCGGCGAGGAGACAACAGTTGGAAGAGATTGCGTTGGGCGAAGTTGTACCCACGTTCCTGACCCGCTGTGGGCAATCGGGCTGCTGCGTTTCGCCCACAGGATACGCAGTCTATTCACGGGATATCCTGCCAAGCGCTTTGAGAGGTCACGAAGACGCGATAAGGCGCTGCATCAAGTGCAAGGATTATCATCAGTTCCGACGAAAGGGGCCCGAAACATCGACTCGCTTTCTCCATAGGTGCTGCCTGACCTGAGTGTTCCCAGCGACTCCTGCTTTCGTTTCAGATTTCCAGCCTCTTCAGCATCTTGCGTTACATTATTGACTCAGTTCCACCCACCTTGGCGTTTGCAAACCAGTTTCACCGCGAATGTCCACCCTGCTTGTATCTGGGCTGGTTTCCTTGTGTGGGTGGAGAGCTTGGATACTCTTTAAGCGCGGCGCTGGGTTTCAGACACACAGGAGAACCTCAAAAACAAATCTGAGCTGGAAGCCAATTAAAAAAAACATTGAAGATAATAATAATCATCATCATCATCCCATAATTTATCACGTCTTCGAGACTTCTCGAAGCAATTCACAGGATTCACTGTCAAGTGAATTGACTTACATGGCTTTCACTACCCAATTATGTTTAGGAATCTGAAGAATTCCCACTAATGTCCAAATCACATGGATATTCTATTCTCGCCTGCTTAGTACAGAAAGCAGGCTCTATCCCAGTTTCCTTTGAAAGCTGTCTTGGGCTGTGCTTCGATAACCATTTGTGGTAAGGTATTCCATCTGTGTAGCACATAGCTCCTCTCCTGCACCAGGCTCCCCTGAGCCTGTCACCACCACCCACCCCCCCCCCCCCTCCTCCAAACCCCCATCCTTGTTTGGCTCATTTCAAAACTCTGCCACCTGCATCCTCACCTGATGCCCATCAGCCCAGGCAATGGTATTAGGGACACTCTGCTGCCCGCTACATCGCAATCGGCACGGCCTCACTTGATGCGCGTAACTCACCGTACACGTGCACCAACCGTACTACAGCGAGATCAACTTGCATTCATATAACGCCCTTCGCGCAGGATAACGTCTCGGAGCGCTGCGCAGGAGCCAGGCTGGATGCCGAAACAACACCGAGAAACCTAAGGATTTACTATCGCTCTCGGTCACCTTCCTACCCCCGCCCTCCCTGCCCTCCACTCCTCCTGATTCCAACCCCCAGTTCGGGTCCAAATCCCTGACTGTCAATTTGTGTACAGCGATATCTCAGAAACAGCCACAAAGTGAATTTTTATTTTATTTTGAGAGGGCGTGTGACATTGACCCAATGTTGGACTTGAGCTCACAGCCCTCTGTCGACGAGATGAAAGTGCTACCAAATGAGTCAGGCTGATATCACAATGAGATTTAACTACATTACGTGAAAATGTTTGTTAACTTGAGTCAAAGGCTTTGTTAGAAAAGGTTGATTTTAATATAGTTTATAAGAAGAGCAATAGAAGAATTAATAGTGAATAATATGTGTATATCAATACCCATATATGCATGGCAGTAGGAAACAGGGGAGAAAGAAAGTGTTTTACGAACATTTTAGGAATTGGCAGAATAAGCCATCCTGGTTCTGAAAGGCCAACGGTCAGTCAGTTGTGATGGTGAGAGAAGGCTTCAAGAAGGGCCCAAGACATCTGCATTCCATGAGGGCACCTAAGTAAAGCTGCTCAGTATTCTGTGCCAATCACGTTAAACGTTTCTACGAGACAGAGACAGGCTCCAGCCTTGGAAGGGAGAAGCAAGATGTCCGGTGTTGAAGAATAATGAGCAAGCTGCGATGTCTCAAAAGGGTCTGTTTATCCGGAAGATATGGGGACAAGGATGTGCGAGGGTCGAGGGGGGAAAGATCCCTAGGTGGAAAAAGTATAACTACCCTGACTTTAGGCAAGTAAGGCAGCAGATCCAGCCAGACAAAGAGGGCAGCCGAACCATGGAGAAAAGGTGTGCTGAAACCATCGCAACTGACCGACTGCTCCAAAACTGGTAGTATAAGTTCTGTTACTTGTAGTGGCAGTATTATTTTACTAGTTTTGTATGTGTTACTTTGATTAATAAATCTCCATTACACTTTAATTGAATTGTTGGGTCATTATTTGAACCTCGGGATCGGAAATCCCAACAGCTTATACTTATATTTTCCCTATTAAATCATGGAACAGTGCTTGATTAAAGAAAAGTATTCTTGTTAAAATATGAAAGAATGTGATTCAGCACCAATGTTACTCAATAATTCCTTACCGAGTCCTTTACAGTAAATCCTCCAGAATTTTCACCTGCTCTGTAAACCCTATCATTCAATGAGTAAAACATCTGTGGGAGCTCGGCTTTTTAATGGGCATTGTTAATATATGTAGTATTCCCAGGTGGGACGAAACCTTAGCAGTGAGCAGGAACCCAACCGTTAGCCGATTGGCTGATCGCTTGTCCCCTGGTAATAATCCGTTAAAAATAAATAAAAATAACTTGGTTACTCAATCCACGACTGCTGTGCTCAATTGGTTCTCACATTTCACCCACAAAATATACATCAAATTCACTTTACAGTGTGTTCTGTGAATTGCTTTGAGCTGTCTTGAAGACGTGATACACCCTGTGGTCACCCTCCTACCCCCTACCCTCCCTGCCCTCCACCCCTCCTGATCCCAACCTCCAGCTCGGGTCCGAATCCTTGACTGTCCAGCGACTTGGGATGTCCTCCCGATGCGAAAGGCGCTGTGTAAATTTAATACGTTGTTATTGTCGCTGCTGTTGTTGTTGAGGGGCTTTGAGACAAGGCGAAAGGCGCTCTATCAAATGCAAGGATTACTGTGATTCTTAATGTCTAGTCCACTGTACGTTCGCTTCAGAAATCAGCGCTTTCAGTGACTGAATGGGTTTGCTTGAGTTCACGCTAAAGCACGATCAGGCTCCAGCTGACTAACTTTGGTTGATATTGAGATAAAGTGTGAGATCCATAAATGGGTTTATTTATGCCGCAAAATATATGGCAGTTCCCAACTTTCTCCTACAGGATCCAGTCAGGAGTGGACGAAGCCAAGAAAACAATTCTTCTTTGCAAAGCAAAGCAAACTTTCCCCAGCGCACGATACCTTTTGAGGTTATCACCCGATCTTCGGAATACTAATCCAGAGAAACGTTTATCTTTACTCATCTGATTTGGACATTGTTCTGCAATTACTGAATAACACGTTCCAAAAAAAAGAGCGTATACTTATGACCGTGAAATGGTCATGGGCTAACTCCAGTGTGACCTTCTTCTGAAACACTTTCCCAATATATCCAACTAGTCAGCCTTTGTCCGTTAAGGCCAAATAGTACAGCGAATAAATCTGTTGCTCGTGCTTTCATTAACTCTTTAGCTTGCTGCTGTTCTCTGGCAGTGTTCAAATACTAAATAAGTTCTCATGAATGTTTGCACCACACCCGATTTTATTGAAGGAGCACAGAATGCACCATTTATTTGCCATCCTCTGTCATGTTGCTTTGAGTCCCAATTTCCAAGGCCGGCAAGAGCAAGCAATGTGCGCTTATACAGCTCCCCTCATGCAGGATAGAGTCATGGGGCGGCTGCAGAGCGATGGGGTTGGACACGGAGCAAGGGAGAAAGGGGGAGGGGGGAGGCGACCATAGGCACGGTTGAAGAGGTAGGGGTGTAGTGGTTGAAGGCACTGCTGCTGCTGGTGGT